GGAGCATAAGGTTAGGGGAGGGAGGGGAGTGGGATTGTGTTACAGTATGGAAAAGAGCATTTTGCTTCAGCGAAGGGGAAACGGGAGGGGAGGGGAAACGGGAGGAGGATCAGGTTACAGCACGGAGGAGAGCGACGCGAAGAGGGAGAGGGAGGGGAGAGGAAGGGAGGTTGTGTCCTGGCCAGCTGTTAAGCCATGCAGCTGTACTGGACCTCCTGATTCTCCGGCAAATCTGATAATCCGGCACCACTAAGGTCCAAAAGTGCCGGATTATCGGAAGTCTACTATATCTTCAAATACAACCACTTCTGTGTGTAACATTTTAAGTTGGTGTTATGAGAGGTATTTAACAGATATGCAAGTACTTGTAACAGTCACCATGTCTTAAGGAAGGATCTCTCTTTTTCGACACTGTATTCTGGAATACAGTTTTTGCAGGGATAGGTTATGGCAAAGAAGATATTTACTGAGTGCTGGTCAGTTTTGTTTTGGTCTATATTCTGTTAAATTTTTGTGGCATTCATACATTATTATTATGCTGTTTTTCTTCAGAAGGTGTCAGAAAACATCAATCACTTTCTCTCTTGCCTTTCATGTCAAGATTACACATATAAAAGTATATTTTAATCTCCAGCATATAGCCCATTGTTCTTTCATGCTTTAGGTGCCAAAGCAAACAGATACCATTCCTGCAATGTAACTAGTAGAACGTGATTAGTAGTCTTGAGATAAAACTACTTCTTGTGCAAAAACTTTATTTTGTCATCGGCTGAAAAAGGTAAATGGCATTGGCCAGAATAATACCTGCCATACCTGCTACAGAAGGCCAGGACAGACCTTTGACAGTACATTGTCTTAGAACTAGTGCCATTGACTGAAAATGTGGTAGATCCTTCAATTGTAGTTGAGAAACGACCCATGAAGCATCACCTCTGCCCATCCCAAATTATTTAATGAATGTATATGAGTTACTGAAAACAAGGCTGAAATTTCTTCTGCTATAACAGATTGTGGTATTATAATTCCTTCTTATAGGCCTTCCAGCAGGTCTTCTCTACAGCTTACAACTACTACACCTGCTTGGCATTGAGCAGTCATGATCAGATTACACCTGAACTGAGCTCTTTCCACTGGCTATTTTTGTAGTGGCAGATTGATTTTTTTTTATTTTTTTTTAACTGGCAGAGCTCAGGTTTACAAGGGCTTTTGTAAGGAGCATGCTGGCTATGTTATACACCTCCTCTCGAGCAAAATCAGTGTCTGAACTGGGTTATCCCCTTCATTTATGGGGGGTTCTACCTTTGTAGTGAAGTCTGGAGGGTAAATTAAGTCTTGCTACAGTGGTTTTAGGGATATCTCACTCTGTTTGTCCCATCACGCATACACATTTTAATAACAATTATATATCTTTTTTGGCCTCAGCATGTTCATCTTAAAACATTGCTATTTCATTTTGTTGGGCCTTTAAATCTTCTTCTTCTCTTTTGATGTTTTATTTGTATTACAGCTTTTTGTTCAATGCCCAAAATACTTCAGCTGAGGTGAGAGGATGGGGCTTTATAAAGAGTCTTTAATTATTTGTTATTGATTTTATACATAACTACATTAATGCAAAGTGCTACTCATGAGCCTTTAATTGGCCATAAATTGTTTTTACTCGTTGGTTTTTACATTCATTTTGTATCCAATGGTAATTTTACAAGGAACTTCATTATCAATGGAAATTGCAGAAATGAAGTCAAAACAACAGCATGGAAACATATGGCTTGGCCCGTCACCATAACTCTTAAGTAAAGCTCTGGAAAATTGGGACAACTGCAGGGTTCATATCATGCTTTGTTCTTACAAGGATAGACTTTGCTTTTTGTTTTGCATTTCCAAATTGCCTTGAAAGTAAACTTGCCTCCAGCGATGAGCTGGCTAAGTCTTCCACGTCCATCTTCTGGGTGTCACCTGCTAAGGTGAGGAGTCTGGAAAAAGCCTGGATACATTATGTATGGGTGGCCTTTTGTTTGTGGCAGACAAAGGGAAAATCCTCTGGATTACTTGAAGATATCATATAACACACAAGATGGAGTTACTATTATTCTCTTCTAAGACATATTGTGTTTCCCTTGGGCACAGACAAGCAAGTGCAGCCAATCCTAGAAGGGTAGCTCCTATTAAAGATTTATGCAAGCCTGAATTATTTGGCTTTAAATGTCTTTTTAAAAAAAAAAAAAAAAGAGGGATGCTTTCTTTAGGCACTGCAAACTGAAGTAGATGGTATCACTGGTAATCCTTGGCTTAGGTACAGAGCTTCTAAATGGCTTGAATTAGATGGAAAATGGGGCTGTTTGATTTTCTTTCCCTTTTTGTTTTTGCTTTTAAGTCCTCGCACAACATTTCCAACTAAAGCAACAGTTAGGTGGGTTTTTCAACTCTGTGTATAAGTTTCTCCTGTTAGGTACATTCATTCATTGAAACAACTTTGAAGCTGTTGAACAGTGTAAATGCTATATTAACTTTTTCACTTGCAATTATAGAGATTTACATAATCCTATTGAAACAGTACTTTCAGGGTGGAAAAATCAAGAAGTAAAGGTACATGAAAAAAAGAAAAAAGAAGCAATATGATCACTTTATTTAACTTCTGAAAAAAACCATTTCAACTTTTAATTTACACTTCCCTGAGATGGTTGCTAAGAATAAACAAGGCATATTGCAAGAAATAAACTTTCATTTTGTTTGTTACATTAGATCATTTAATTTTCACATTGTTTGTTCTGTATATGGAGATTTGTCCAATTAGCCCTGCTCTTTGGAACCGCTATCTGATAATGAGAAAGGCTCATTCTTATTGGTCTTTGATTTACAGATTATGAAAAGGAAAGCAGTTGCTCAATTTTGAGAAGAAAAATAAATAAGGTAAATTAGCCATTAATCCAAATCCAAGCCCCTGTTCCTTGATTAGACAAGAATTTTAGTGTGCATTTGGCAACTGATGCTTTACTGAAAAAAATCTATAAAATTGAATAAAAAATACCCCTTTCCTATAGATTCTTTGAATCATCCTACGTAATCTAATAGAGAAACCATCTCTGCTATAGCATTCTACAGTATGGTCAGAAAAACTATGAAAATATCATTGTTCTTAACTACATTTTTCAGATATTTATAGTAATTTTTATATAATCCTATTGGATTAATCCCTATTAAATTCTATAAGACTTTTCCACAAAGAATTCTATTTCTCATTTTCACTAACTATAACATATATATTCTTCAAACATACTGCCTCATAATTGAAAAAAGATGATAAGACTACAGTGTAACTGCTACTGAAAAGTTCAACTAATATCTTCATGTTAACTCTGTTCATGTGCCCTGGCTTCATATATTTTTCCAATCAATGTTATCATTTCAACAGAAAATAAAAAAGACTTTTTTTTCTTTTGCCAATTCAATGCAAGGAGCCTATTTGTGTTGTTATTGTTGCTCAGCAACTGTGATCTCTTTGCTAGGCCTGACAGTTGCTTTCTCTTCAGGAGAGCAGAGACGCAAGCAGGACAGATGCATTGATCCTCAAAGCATTATCAGATTGGGTCTCACACACTTTCAAAAGCTGATAACATCTAATAATCTTACTCAAAGCTCATTTTACACATTGTTGAACTTTTACAGTTAAATCTAGAAAAAACACATTGTCTTGCTACTCCTCTGTGGTGATGGAGGGTTCTCAGTAGTTTCAATAATTAGGCTGTGGCATTCAAAAATGGGTGTTTTTAAAGAGGCTTGGTCAATATGTATGTATTCTAACTCCGTGGCATACAAGATTCTTTGTCTCATTTAAAGGCCACAGATTCATTAATTTATATATCAGAGTTACTTCACAAATAGTCCTTATTGGTAATGAATGTTGTAATTCCATAGAAGCCTATGTGCTCCTGCTTTTGTTCAACAGTATACTATCAGAACATCAACCATTGAGGACCAAAATGTAGGGATATCATCAGGAATAAAATATGAAATACCAAAAACTAAATTATGTTACTGCTGACTAGATAGTGCTTACACATATAATTAGAATGTTGAACTCAATGAACGCTGCTTAACACAACTAAAAATGAAAGAATCAGTCCTTTATTTAAAATATAAATGATAGGCAATTCTTGAACTAAAAAGGTCATCTAACTTTCCTCAGTGAGTCCCCACTACAAGTCGCCGTAGTATTTGTTGGTTCCGCACTAGCATTGTTGACTCTTGTGGGAACTGTTCCATTTTACGTCCTGCCATTCCCTGTTCTTCCCTCACATAGGAAAAAAAAAGAAAAGAAAAAAAGATCAATTAGCACAAACAGAAGTCAGCTGTGGGAAAAAAATTCCTTGCTTTACATCCTTTCACTATACGTCCACATTATTTTGAACATACCTTAGATGTATAGCAGGGATGCCCTGTACTCTTTTAGTTCAGGCTACATACATAAAGGCCCTGTCTATGGCTTTCCCTCTCTGCATTTATTAGGACATTTTGGACTGCATTTTAAAGAGCCCCTCTCCCCAGCCTCTAAAAATGTATCTGCCATTATTCATGTCTAAATATTGATATGCATGCAGTTTGTCACACTTCTTGTTTTGCTAATGTGGAAGGTGTGATGAGCTGCAAGTTTCTGGCCTCAGTATGAGTGAGAATTATAGGCAAATATCCCATTCATGCCAATGAAGGTTTCGTGTGTGTGTATATATATATAT